TTTCTTTGTCTTTTCCTTCTGGAAAAGTAAAAATCAATATGCGGCCTGCGATTGCATTTAAATGAACAACAAACAACAAAAAAATAAAGAAAGACAGAAACAGCAAAAGAAGAAGAAAAAAATAAAAGGCAAATGACAGACAAATAAAAAATAAATAAAAACAGAAGAAAAAAACCATGGCCAGGGGCACAGCGCAAAGTCGGCGGAGGGGTGAAGAGGGGAGTGGAATGGAGCAACTTATGTGCGACTGTGTGTGTGTGTGCGCAGCACCGCACCGCTCCACACCGCTGCCTCTACCAACTTCCAAAGAACCGGTTCAACAAGAAATTCTACGAGCGGCACAAAAGAAGAAGAAACACACACACAAAAAAAAAGTAAAACGACAGAAGGGGGTATCACAACGGAAAGGAGGAGGGGGATGCTACCGACTATTTGACACCCCTTTAAATAAGAAGATTCCGGTTCTGAAAGTTCTGAAGGGGGAAAAGTACCACCGATGTTTACATTGATATTTTTGAAGACTCCAAAACTCGGATCTAAGTCAAAGGAAAAATACTCATGAAAACTGATCAAGCGGGACGTGAAATTAGGGGAAAATACACAATGAATAGTTATCAAAAATCGATCAAATATTCGGGGTTGTTTCCCACAGAACATAGTTTTTTTCCTGCTCTTTGGATTACAGACTATCAAATATTAAACGACGTACATACATATATCTTCTGTGGTTTTAGAATTATTCAATTGAAATCAACCGAAAGTCATTCACATAACTGGAAAATTGATGGTTCCGCAAAAAGATATTCATGCTGCCATTGTCAGGTTTAGAAAAAGGATTTGATCATTTCTTGAAAGCAAGATCCAATAAGAGTTTCCTAGTGGACTGACAGCCGTTTTCTCGCTATTTTTTTAAATTGAAATTTCAATGGATAGATAACACTACTCGACAAAACCGAACTTTTTTTTTCCTCAAGGATCCAAACCGACTTTTTCTGATAGATGTGGGGCTTTAAAATTTTTTTAAAGAATTATGGTTTTTTTCTATGGCAGAACTTTTTTTTGAAGTATGGTATTCTTTTTTAAAGCTTTTTTCAGAGGTAGCGCTTGTTTTTTTCACATAACTCTAGTATCTTTCATCTGGTTGTTAAGAACTTTGCTATTTTAAAAAGATAATTAAAACAGCTAGAAGTTAAGCCCAAACACTTTGTGATTACAGCTTACCGTCTGGGAAATATAAAGCATTGAAATGCAAAAATGATGATTTTTGTGCGGTATTTTTTACGAAATTTTGACTTTAAAAACTCAGGAAAAGTCGAAAAAAAATTATATCTTGTGTCCTCTATTTTTTTGTGTATAGGTGCGTTAATTTGGCGTCGTTTAAGGTATCGCTCATTAAAATCTATGGAGAGACTTTGGAGCTAAAATTCGTTAACCAAACCTAAAATATGTAAAAAATGAACAAAAAATGCCTTTTGGAAGGTTGCGGGCCCAACTGCCAATTTGTTTGTTTTGTTCCTTGAGGAAAAATCGTGTTGACCAGTGTAATTAATATATTTATACATAAGTATGTATAATTATACAAATGTATAATATTATATAAATAAATATATTAAAGTCTATTTTGGTTTCAGAGTTCCAAGAGGTTCTTATTTCCCTTTGAAAAATGTATGCAAACGCCTAAGATTTTTCCTAAATCATATTAAAATAATAATTGCATGGTAATACGAGCAGAGAGCACTCTATTAAAGTAAAATGGATCTAAATGTCTATGCCAATGAAAAGGCCACGTAAACCCCAACAATAAATTCATTCAATATGTTCTCTCAAAGCTTAGAAGAGACAAAGAAATGGGGGAAATAAACGGCACCCCAAAAGACAGAGACAGGGACTGTGAGAGAGAGAGAGAAGAAAAAGTAATATTTGCATAATTTAAATGCTAATTAGCGGCGGGGAACTGTAGGAGGTGGTCGTAAAAGCAGGGCCAAAAGAAGGTATAAATAAATACAAATATACAAAAAATAAATGACACAAAATGTATGGAAATATATGCTGTATATAGAGGAGACACGAGAGAAGAGAGAGAGACGAAAGAGAACTCGAAAGATCAGAGTAGATCAGAGGAGAGAAAGAGAGGGGAAAAACTAGATATTTTTGGCGCCACGATGGGGGCACGCGTTTCGTCAAACAAACAAAAAAAACCAAATGGAAATTAGATTTGAATCTCCTCTATATGGACTAAATATGGAATTGAATGGAATGTGCGAAGAATCTTTAAGAATCCCAACAAAAACGGAATCGATTGAAATTAGTAGATAGGTTTTTTTTCAGTTGAAGACTATTCAAAATTCAAAATGATCTAAGCACGAATATAGTTTTTTAATATTCTGCCATTAAATGCACATAATTCAAAGGATCACTTGGATAAATGATACAGAAAACGAGTAAAAGTAATACTAAGACCTACCTACGGAAATCAATCGATTTAATGGATCTGCGTTCGATTACACGAGAAAGACAAGTGATAGAATGTTCCTTCAAAATGTTTTAGCACTTGTTGGAATCTCCTTTCTTCCTTGCATCTTTCGAATGTTCATTTAATTCGAAATTTTTATTACGATTTTCCACTTTTCCACGACCAAACACATTGAGGTTCACTTTAGAACTGAAATTTCAATGGAAAGTGCTCCTCGATTGAAGCCATGGAACTCCGACTTATTCCATTCGATGAATCCATCCACGAATGACATCTGTCACATTTCGTGATTGCCGATGGCTGCACGCCCATTCATCCACCCACCCCTACCTGCGTGAGCCGATGATTGCACGACACAGCCACCCACCTGCTCTACGTGAGCCGCAGCTGAAGCTAACGCTCCCGCTCCTGAATCTTAGAACGGGAACGGGGAGGGATATGGGAACGGGAATAATATACACAGCCCCCCCAAAGCCCACCTACCATCCGCCTACGCAATGATCCCCCACCGCCCACTTATATTCCCCATGCTAAGAATTTTATATAGAATTTTCTGCATCAAAATCCACTGACATAGAATGTGTGTGTGTGTAAGTTTTTGTAGATTTTTGCATATTAATATTGTATAAAATACACACCAACGGCTTATAATCCCATTAACGACTTGAGGATTAAGAAAATTTGCACTTGCAACATGTGTGTGTGAGTGTGTATGTGTTAGGCATGGCATTTGACGTCAAAGGAGAAGTTTATAGGCACGCTCAAAGGACATACTGCCACAAGAAAAATGATGTCGCAAAAAAGCTCACAGCTCGAAAGAAAGCCTCCTAAATTTCACAATCTATCTGAAACCATTTTTAAAATAAAAGAAACGATACGGAAAAGTTTTCTGCAAGATTTTACAACATAAAAATATACAAGAAGCCACCTAGCGGGAGATGCAATTTTTTAAGGGGGTTTCTTAAATGGGTTTTCGGAGTAAACTTTAAGGGAATAGTGTTTGCCTTAAGGGAGAATTCCTGTAGCCTCGATCAGATCGAGGAAGACTCAAAAAATAACCTTAATAGCACTCTGATTTCTTGATACGAAAGAAATTCAGGCACATCCCATGCAGATTGATTGCTGAGTATATGAATATATGTATGTATCATTCCGATTGTCATCATATTTCCATATTTTCATTTATAGTTTTTTGTATCCTAGAGAAAAACAAAAGCAAGTTTGGGATAAACTCACTTCATATAATTTGAACCATGACATAGAGGTGGGATTTTTAACTGAAAAAGTGATGGCTTCAATGGATTATAACCTTAATTACAAAACAAAATTCTTCCAGACTTTTAACCGTGATATGAATAATGATAAACAAATGGATATACTCGTACATATCATTCAAGTGATATTAAGGACTTGTATCGGGATCTTTGATAAATACTTGAATGTGTTGTATAATACTGCTGTTTTTAGCACATATTTTTCATATCCCACTGCTGAAGGATACCCTTTTTTCTAGAAAATAAGTCCCTCCCACAAGAGAGAGGGTGTACCAAGTACCCAAGAAATTCCATGCCCAAGACAAAGAAATTTGATATGGGTTCTTCTTTTCTTTAAAAGGGTGGATAGAGATAGATCCTAAAGCTTTACTTACCAAAAAAAAAAAACAAGGAGTGTCCTGAAGTCAGGAGTGCAAGGTGTCCCTGGGCGTCGTTGAGGAAAATCCATACGATTGAAAAATCCTTTAATTTTTTTTTAGTTATAACTTTTGCAACCATTTCACCTTATTTTTCACGAAATTAGTATTAATTTTTTGTTGTTTCATTGTTAAGGAAAACCAGAAAAAAATGCTTGAAAAAAATTAGATATAACTCTTTTTTTGGGTGGATTAAAAATTCCCATCCGATGGGGCGTGTCCGGTTAAAAAAGAAAATAAACGAAATTATAGTTGTTTTTTTGTGTGTGTTTTCTCCCCAAAAACCCCTCTTTTGCACTGTCTGCTGCGTTTTCCTTTCAATTTGATTGCAAAGAAAAATCAAAAATCAACGAACAAATTTAAGAATTGGAACGCAGACACATACACGCACACATTTACAGTGTTAGAGAGAGAGACAGGCGAGGTGGGGCGAGGCGAGGCGAGCGGCGGGATGTATAGAAATTTCAACATCTTTTGGTTTCAGATAAAAAGAGAGGGAGAGAGGGAACGAGCTGGGCAGCATTATATTATATTGCAGTTTGGGCAAAAAAAAAAAAATTACAAAAAAAAAATGTATTTTGCGCGACGCAATTTTTTTCTTTGAATTTTGTTGTTTTCTTGCTTTTTGTATTTGCAAACGAACACACAAACATAAACGAGAGACACACACATGCACGAGAGCGCGAGGGGTATAAGGTGTGGGTGGAAGAGGTGAGAGGTAGCTGCAGAGCAAAGCAAACTTTGACTACTTTTTTTTTTCATTCGTTTTACGTTTTGCGTTTTGCTTTTGCTTCAACAGTACTCTTTATTCCCTTCTTTTTTGCGCTGCACTATTACCTATTTTTTTGTTGTTGCATCTTATCTTTAGATTCTTGAACAATTTCGTATATTTGCAACGTTTTATTTTTTCTTCTATTTTTACTCTTATCTTTTTTCGGGGCACAAATGAACGTTGTACAAAAATTTTCTCACATTGCTCTGCGCCGCCGAACGAACACACCCGAGTTTTTTTTAGGCCTTTCAAACACAGAACGCGACGCGACGCGACACGGCAGCGGCGAACGGGACACAGTCAACGACGTCGACGACGATGGCAGCGACGGCGACGCTGCGCTGCTGCTGAGAGCGAACAGCGCGGTTCTTACAGGGGGCGGGGGCCAGGCCAGTTATAACGTAAGGCTTACACAAAAAAGATCGCCTCTAAGCCGTGAGCGGCTATCCGCTGATTTGGATTTTCTTCTTTGATTTGAATAAAAAAAAACCTAAATTTTATATTAATTATTTGAATTATTATTATTAATTTCCACACAGAGAGAGACAGGGTGCGAGAGAGAGAGAGCGGCGGCTGGCGCTGCTGCCTCAATAGCTGTGGCAAAAATGTTGCCCACTTCTGCTTGAATGTTGCTGTAAATCGTGCACATGTTGCCAGCGAACTTACAGGTTCGGGTTCGCTCAGCCGGTTGGATCAAACGGTCGTGTATGTTGCTAAGTGTTTTTGAGAGAACCTCCCTATATCGATACGAAAATATCGTCACAAAAAAATAAATTTTTCATCGGTTTTTGTAGAGGAAACGTTTACGTGATTTTTGTTTTCAATCAAATCGACCAAATGTTTTGCAAATGGCCCTTATAAATACCAGAAACATACTGAATGTTCGATGTTGGAAGACACACTGGCGTCTTTTACTATTAGGCAAAGGTCAAAGGAGTACTGAAGAATGTAATACGAGAAATTATTATATGATGACCATATCCTCTCCCACAATATTGCGCCTGGCCTTTGCTAATTTGTTTTTTTTTGCAGTGAAAGTGAAACACATGTTGGGCTAGTGGTGGGAGACAGCGGCGCAGCAGAGGCCGGGTCTAATACTCAACCATTTGGTTTGATCGCAAATCAGTTGCATGTTGGATGCTTGCAGCGAACTTGTCGGCTCAAACATATTGCTGGCCCGCTTTATTCTGTGCTTGCGAAAATGCGCTAATGTTTCATGTCTATTAATATTGTCTTCCCTTTCCTCACTCTTCACACAACACAACCCACAACAAGCCATACACCATACAAAACTATGGGCCGGCCGGCAGAGACGAATGGCCTCTTTGCAACCATTTCTAAACGTGTTCGTGCTCGCTGCAGCGTTGCCAAATTTCAGTGCAAAAAAGAAGCAACCAGAGTAGTCAGAGAATGATTGAGGGAGGGGACAGCCATCGGACATGTTCGAAGCCAACTGACGCCGCTGGCACTGAAGTTTGGCAACAGGGCACGCCATTCGTATGCTTTTCCTGTTTAAAAATGACCATTAGAAATGACAAATAAAAGGAAAACTGGAATTATAGGGAGCCTGATAATGTAAGCCAAACAATAAGCAGATCTGAGTTACAGTTACAGCCGAGAAGCAAAGGCGCAACAACAGACAGAATATATCGAGAAATAGACGGTATACGGTGCATGACACCATTCGTTCTCATTCGCAGTCATGCGGCATCAGTTGCTGGCGAGCAACGAAACCGAAACCGTCGCCATGCTCAGTCCGGGGGCCAGCAGCAGCGGCATGATGAACAACTCTTCAGCGTCCACGGGCATTCTGTGCGACGAAAAGGAGGTAATGGAGGAGTTCATCAGCTGCTATCGCCACTTCGCTGCCCTGTGGGACAGCAGCAGCAGCGACTACCTATCCAAAACGAAGAAGGAGCCCGGCTACATGGAGCTCCTCAAGATACTGCGTCGCATCAACGGGGAGTGCACTGTGCAGGATGTCAAGCGGAAGATCAATTCTTTGCGATGCTGCTATCGCAGGGAAATCAAAAAGGTCCAGTCCTCCAAGTACAACTATCGGCCGCGGCTCTGGTGGTTCAACTTAATGGACTTCCTGAAGCCCGTACTCAATATTGGCTCGCCGCCGCACATGGACGACAGCCTCGACGAAACGACCATAAATGTGAGTATCGCTGCCTAGGGGAGTAGGGTAAAAAGTAAATGAAACATTCCAAATATTTTAATATATTATTAATAACTAAAAAGTTTAAAAAGTATGTCTAAATACATCGATGTTTAAGAAAAAAAAAAAGCATCGATGTTTCTCCAGCTCTAGTTTGGTAAGGGGCTAAGGTTGGTGGGGTTGTTCTCACACAAGTTTGATGGGAACGCGGCTTCGTCGTACGACAGTCGTACGACAGCAAGAGGACGCGGACGACGGCATGCAGCACAACGGCGGCCGGACGGCATCGGACATCGAGCAATGGCAGAATTTCTTCCGGCTCTACCGTGGCATGCCCCAACTTTGGATGACGAAGAGCAGGAGCTATCGGGACCGCCTGCTGAAGGCGCAGTCTTATCATTTACTGCTGGATTGCTTGCGCAAGATCGATCCCACGGCCAACATTCACACGCTCAAGCGGAAGATCAACAACTTGCGCAGCTCGTACCGCCGTGAGCTGCGAAAAAAATACTCCTCGGATAATGATTATGTGCCCACCCTATGGTATTTCAAGGAACTCGACTTTCTCTGCGAGGTGGAGACCGGCGAACTGCAGTTGGAGATGGAGTTGGATGGCGATTTACCGCAACTAAAGTCGTCAGGGCCACAACCAGAACTATCACCAGAGCCAGAGGATATCATCACCTTGTCAGTGCAAGAAATGCACGCAGATTTCATCGAAGAGTTGGATAATGAAAGCGATCCAGATGGCACGGAGAAGGTGACGATGGGTAGTTCTGTAGTCCAATTCTCTCGTGTGTCGGCAACTGTACTCAAAATTAATGCATTGTCTTCCCGTTCCTGTTTTAAATCTCGCTTGCAGGATAAAGACATGTTTGTGGAGTCCTTTAACACCGAAACGGATGCCCTGGGCGATCCGGAACCGGATCCAGAACCCGAAATGGAAGCCGCCGATCTGACGCCCGCCATGCGGATGACGACGACGCTTAAAACGGAGGAGCATAGCCATAGCCATAGCCGCGACTACCAGACGCTGTCACCGCAATCGATGACATCGAATGCCAGTGGATTGTACTCCAGTCAACCGGTCAAGCACCGCCATGGATCTGGGAGGCACCCACTGCCGGCCGAAGGGATGCTGCTGCGGACTGGGCGTCCCGCGCGTCGGCGCAGCAGCACGAGCCACGATGAGGAGTACTTCCATTTCGTGGACGGAGAGCCGAGCATGAAGCAACGCCGCATGGAGGATCATGCAGAGAGCGAGTGCGTGCTGATCGGGAAGCGAATGGCGGCCCACTTTCGGAACATGCGCCCAGACCAGAGGCTCTTTGCCGAGCGGATCATCAGCGAGGTCCTCGTCTACGGCCGAATGAATCGGCTCTCCCTGCGAGCACGATTTGTGCCCAATGATGAGGACGGTGCATTGCCGTGAGGCACAGGTGGTGTCGGTGTCGGTCACTCGTGGCCGGTGGAGGAGTCAGTGCTGCCAATACGAGGTGTGGTGTGGATACTCTGTACGAGCAGCATAAGATGACAAAAAGATTACCAGGGAAAATGAACAACCGACAAAAGTGGAGCTAACAATCAGGCTTTGATAATTAGTTGTAACATATAAATACACATAATAAATTATGCATTAAAATTACATTATGTGACCACTGGGGTGACATAAAGAAAGGTGAAAAATCGCCACGAACACCTCGACTGTGCGTTGGCGACGTGTTTGTCGCCTGCCATTCTCTTCTGGCAGGGCAGCAGAAAAAGGTTCAGACATAGACAGTGGTGAAGGCGAAAGAGAACGAACAGGCAAAAGAACTGTATAACCAGAACTGGTTTTTATCCATTTTCAATTTGAGTGAGCGGTTCTGCATGCGGCGGACTCTCCTTTGGCTCTCCCGCTCCCTCTCCCACTCTATTCAGCTGCCAACGACTGCGATTTTTGTTTCCTTGCGTTTGCTTTCTTTGCTGTTTCAGTGGCAGAAGCAGCAGCAGAGGCAGAGGCAGGGCACACTGCTGAGCGCCCGGTTTTGTGTCTCTTTCTTACCCCTTTGACCGCTGATTCGCGTTTCCATGCTGTGCCAGAAATTCTCTCTTGCTTGATACCCTTTTACAGATGGAAGTATTGCTGATTTTACAGCATGTAATGTATTTATTGTATTTATTATTTATTAAAAATGTTAAAACATCCCGCGACGTGGAATAATTTTGTACATATTTCTCTAGATAATCAAACAAAATGCAAATCATTTTACAAGCCAGACGCATCGAATAATATATGGGAACAAAAGATATCGCAGGGTATGTCAAGGGTCGACCCCTCAAAGAGCTGGCATCTCCTTCTGGGTTTTTGTTCTGTTTTCCCTTTGCTTTAGTAACTTTAATTTGTTGGCATTGCCATTGCCGTTTCGGGGTCCGTTATGCTGCCAGCAGAGACCCCGTTTCCCGTACATCGACGAACCCTTTACATTGCTCTATTATCGCTCGGGTTTGGCTAGGTCGTGTTTCTTTTGCTTTTGCTATAGTCTTTGCTTTTGATTCTTTGTTTTTTGTGTTTTTGTCGTTTCGGGTATCAGCACGCAAGGTGGGTGAAAGGGGTTGTCTCAGGGGGAGATCTGAGTCTGAGTCAGCCTGAAATACGGGCTGAAATATTTCTGTTTGTGCAACTTGATCGGAATTGTTAAGAATATGTACATACATACATATATATGTACATATGTATGTATGTGTGTACATATTTATGTGTTTAGTTCCTGGCACCGAGATGCATTTGGCCGCCACACCTTTATTTTTGTTATGCCAAATGTTCGGGTTCTGGCTCTGATTTAATAGAAAGCTTACTTACACTTACTGCGGAAAATAAACATATTATTTTTTAATAAATCAATAAAAATAAATCTGCTAAAAGTTAAAAGTAGTTTCGAAAGAAAAAAAGTTTTAAACAAACAGGTCTTTCCTTTTTTTCTTTTGTACTTTGCACTCGATTATAATTTTCTTCAAAAAATATAATAAGTGGGATTGTGACTCCAGATCTAATAAAAAAAAGTTTCAAAAACAGTCCCATCCAGCGGTATTCAACGAATTTGAGAAGTCATTTGAAGAGGTGAGGCCGCACCTTCCCCTTGAATTACAGTTTCTTGCATTTGGGATTCTTTGTTTTCGCTTTTATTTCTGCCAATCTGTTTTGTCTGCCACATGTGGCACTCACTATCCCACTCACACACTCTCCTGATCTTTTTAGTTGCTGTTTTTGTCCTGTTCTTTCAATTCCCCGTCTATTCATCCTCATGCTCTTTTTCTCTGGCAAGTTTTACTGTTGGCGATGCTGCAGCTCAGCTCTCCACTCCATCCAGCAGCAGCAGGTCATTAATAACATTGTTGCCCCATAGTGCAGGGGGCGTCCCTGTCCTTCTTGAAACGTTTTTGCCTTGCTCTGAATTTTGACTGCCTAATGCGGCCTTTGGGTCTTTTCCCTTTCCTTTGCCTTGTCATTCCACGTATTTATCGCTCGTTGCTTTTCACTCAGTTCATAGCCGTTGGTTGTGTTGGTTGTCTTTGTTGCCTTGCCCATTTCTTTCTGCATTTGGCTAGCATTTGGCCCCCCAAGGGTCCTTTTGTATAGTTCAGATGTTAAAAATTACACATCTAAATTGATGCCCCCAGTTTTTCATCATCGGATGGACCACATCAACTCTTTGAGATACCAGAATTCACATGATTTTGATCACTTTAATTAAGTACAAAAGTTTGTACTGGCCACGATATCCAATAATATCCAAGCGGTCCACGCGACACCGAGCCGAAGCTTTTTCCAGGACAAAAAGCGACCGAGAGGCGCTGCCGCATGACAAGCGATACATACATACATATGTACGTGTAAATGTAACGGCTGCCATATGTCATATTAAACCAGAGAATATGGAAACCTATAATCAAACTAGCGATGCAGTTATGATTCCGCGCAAGCACAAATTTTTGGTGTGAAAAAATAATTCAATTTTCAAGAGATTCGAAATGAACTACACATATTGCACTTCTACATTTTTAATAGACTTTAGATAAAGTTTATATCGATCTGAGAAGGGTATCTAAGGCTTCGTTAGCTTTTTATTCTAATATGTAGATGTTACTTGTAGTTGTAGCCAACATTTAAGACTATGAAAAAAAAAATGTTTAGTCAAATTACTGCCCTGTAGTAGGGTCTTTCCTTCACTCTTCCTTAGTCTCTTATACATATATGTACATATGTAAAGTGTACACACATGTGTATTAGTTAATGTGCTTGCTGCCACTGGGTGTGCGGAGGGACGGGACCTTTGTGGCTGAGGCACGCAGGTCGTTCGGTCGCCGTTTGGCTTCGGGCTTGTCCCGGACAGAGGTACAGCGACTGGACAGCGTCTTATGTGGCTCTGCTTTTGACATGCCACAAACGCTAACCTTCCCCCCACCCCTTGGTGAAGGCCCTATAGCAGTCTGACTCTTACCCCAACAACCAATGTGGAACCCCTGCCAAACCACAATAATCCATTCCAATCCCAGTGTGTGTGCCTGTGCCTGCGTCTGTGGAAATGGCAAAACAAGGTCAAGTGTAGGGACCAAAATTTGTTTGAGTGCACATGACTATGTGTGTGTTTCGCTGTACATATGTATGTGTGTTTGAGTCTCGAAAGAGGGTGTTTCCAATTCCCCAAACATTCTTCTTTCTGGATAACATGTCTTAAATATTAAATACATACATATGTACATATGTACAAGTTTATGCACTCGACTTTTAATCAATTATGGCCTACAAATCCCATTTCAGAGACTTGTGCCCATGAAAAATGATACACAAGTCCTTAATTGTGGAAATATTTTACTCCGCTTTTCCTTTAAATTCATAGAGGAATGCAATTTTGCGTATGTTGATGTTGGGGAGAAAACCATAAATAAAAAAATTAAAGCAAACGTAACTTTATCATTAGGTGGGGCTTCTGGAGTGTTGGGTGGGGGTGGTGGTGGGTGCCAAGGGCTGCGCGTAACGTTTAAACAAAAATTGCGAGAGACCGAGAATCAGACCCTACCCTCCCTGCTGACGAAGCGTCCCCATGTCTGAGTCACGCTCAACAGGCGGCCGTTGCGCCGAAACGTGCAGCTTCAACATTTTGAGGTTAGCTTTTTGTCGCATTCGCGGGGGCAACGCCAACGGCAGTGGCAGCGGCAGCGGCAACCCTAAGAGCGCGGCACAAAATCAGTTGCACAAAGGTGTGAAGTTTTTCGAGATCTGAACTTGACGGATGGGGGCCCTGGTTGGCGTCAAAGCCAGCGCCACAGCCACAGTGGAAGCCGAAGCCAACGTCGCTGCAGCGGCGACGACGACACCTGTGGATATACGAATGGGAATGTGAAAGAGAGAGAGAGAGAGAGGGAGGGATAGAGAGATCTGCTCTGCTGCCAATTTTTGCAGGCCTATGCGGCGAGCGGTCGGGTCGTCGAGAGCATGCCTCAAGTCAGACATGAGGAGTGAGGTGGGAATCAAATCTGTACGGGAAGTGGAGGCAGCTCTTTCTGTCTCACCCACCCACTCAAACCCCCCGGGATGTGACGTATGCACAATCAAAGCAAACGCTAACGCAAAAGCAAAAGAAAAACCAACAAAAACAGCGGCAGCTGAAAGTGTAACTAAAATACACACAAAAATTATATACCCATAAACATACATACACTCATGCATATGTACATACATATGTGTTTATATATACACAAATACTGTACATCCATACATACACACAAAACAGAGCTAGAGTCATAAAAACACGAAAGACGAGGTCGATAATTCGTGCGGCGAAGAATTTGATACCCTTGGCGATTATGTGTTCGTACAAAAACTGTTTGTGATACATTTTATACATTATATGTATATATTTTACGCATATATGTACGTCATGTAAACAAAAATATGTATGTATGTAACTGTATCTGCAAACTCAGTTTATTTTTGGTCAACGGAGTGTTGATTCCCTCTCGGCGTTGCATGCAAGCATTTGTCATATCCTCTCTATGTAAGGGTATCAGAAACGTTGCAAAAAAAAACCAACAACAAACAAAAAAGAGAAAAAAAGAAACCTAAATAAAAAAATTAAATGGAAATTTCTGAAATAAAGCACACGCACACAACCAAACACACTGCGAATAGCCATAGCAGTGTCGGCGGCAGAGGCAGAGGCAGAAAAGCAGTTCATGTTCACTTTGAGTGAAAATTGGCAACGTTGCCTCTGCTAACGTAACGAGCCAGGCGACGACGCCGGCAGACACAAAAACAAACACTGCGTCAGCTAGAACGTCGGTCCGTCACTAGGTGAGAGTGACTGTCGACTGTCGGTCGGGTGAAAACGACGGCCGGCCAAAGAGCGCAGCGCGTAGTTTTTGCGCAGCACAGCAACAGCAAACCCAGTGGCGAATTTGATGCGTCAATACAGATGGATGAGTAAATTTCGCAAAATATCTTCAAAATTCCGAAGTCATAGTCCAGTGTCATTTTATCTTAATTTAATTAATTTAAAGTTCTCAACTAGTATTTCTGCTTAGCTCGAACATTGACAAAACTTATGTTTGCATGTACAATGTACTGTACATTTCGCAAGCGTGTGTTGTGCCAAATTCGCCACGTGGTATACGCTGCTGTTGAGCTCACTCCTTTTGCCGACAGAAACACACACACACACACGCTTTGCACAATTTTTTTTCGCTACAATTTGACACACAAAGCAGCTGTCAGCATAAGCACACATATATGCATATGTACATATATGTTTGTATGTATGTGTATTATATATCAGCCAGTGCGATAGAGGGAGATCTAGACTAAGAGAGAGAGCGAGAGAGCCGGAGTCGACAGCGGCGGGGCTGGGGCTGGGTCTGTTATCTACTGCGCATTGTCTTGAATGTTGTTTGCGTGTGTCTGTACGTATGCGAGCGTGTGTAAGAAGAAGCAGAATGGAAGTGTATGTGTGTATGAGCGAAGATGAAGCAGAAGTTTGTGTTGTGTGCGAAAATAAGAAGTAGAAGAATAGAAGAAGCAAAAGCAAATGAAGGAGGTGTGTGTGTGTGAGTTGTGTTTGCATGCCAGAGAAGAAGCAAAGCTGGAAGTGAGATGAAGCAGAAATAGAAGAGTATGTGTGTGTGTGTGTGTGTGTGTATAGAAGTAGAAGTGGAGACCCGAATAACTATCGCAAATGCTCGTTTGAAGGGGTTAGTTAGCGGCAGCGGGGCAGACATGACACGACCAACGTCAACAGCAACAACAAGAACAGAACCGGCACATTCAACTTCCACAATGCAGAGAGCAGACGAAACGCACATACATATGTATGTATGCATGTACATATGAATGTATGTACATACATACATATGCGCAAAAGAGACAGTCAGTTGAGGAGATATATGGGTGGGTGATGGAGACTTGCTTGACAGTGGAGTCGGAGTCGGAAAGAAGTGCAGGGTAGGGTAGATGGTTTGATATATGTACATTGTATGAATGCATGTATATATATGCCAAAGGAGATGGAGAGAACAGACAGAAATTAAAGGTGAGACGGAATGACTAGGGAGACGGCGAGTCGTGCATGACAGTGGTGACGGTACGACATACAGAACAGTGAAGATGGGTCGTGTGGGTGGGTGGGTCGGTGAGACGTGTGTGACAGAGTGGAAATGCATGCAATAGGAGAAATGATACTAGAAGAGAAGAAATGGTGAGACGGTGAGACATAGGCACGTATGACAGACCGTGTGTGGGCCGCCGCATTGCTTGACTACGTCTGATGAGTGCCCCTCTCCACCCCACTGTCAAGAGTGTTTTCGTTTGGGTGTGCGAGTGAACAGAGCGACACACGAAACCAACGTGTCAGCCAAGTCAAAATACATAAAAAAGCAAAAAGGGCAAAACAGCAACAAAACCATCTCCGAATAATAATAAAAAGTAAAATAAAACGAAAGCATATGGAGGAATGGAATGAGAAAGTGTACCGCCAATTCTCTGCATGCGCACATGTCTGCGTGCGTGCATGTGTTGTTTGCGTGCATGTGTATGAGGAAACTTTGTTGGAATGATGGAACTTGGTCGGAGGGAAGAAACGTTTTATGGTGGCGTAACTTGAAGCTGGGCGACATGCAAACGACTTGAAGCCAAATCCTTAGTAGAAGTAGAAGAAAAAAGCATTGGATAAAACGCACGTTGTTGCATTGTGTGCGCTGGCTAGGGTGGTGTTGGTGGTTGTGGATGGCGGAGGGTATACGGATTGGGTTAAAGGGGATGAGAGAAAACGGTCCAATCATTGGTGGAGCCCCCGTTGTGGTACACGGGACTATTGTCTCATAATCCTCTTACGATCCACCGCACACCATCCGTTTATACCACGTGCAAGAACACTTTTGGCATAACTGATTGAATCTTGTGCGGATGCACACGTTTTTCATTATGTGACAGTGGAAAATTCGATGGGGAAGCATTGAGTTGTGTGGTTTATACACATGTATTTGTACATACAGGTGTAATAATTTTCATAAGAAATTTTCACGGCCAAGGGATAGCCACATGCGCATGTCGGGAGTACATGCAATGAAAGCTCTTTCAGGGTGGACAATCTCTCCTCCAAAATGGTCACACGAGATATTAGATAGGGGGAGGTTGATTTTCTGTATCATACTGAAGGATATTGTGCAGCGGATCTTAATGGAGGAGTTAATACTTGGAAAGTGTTTCCCCCAACTGTCATAAGTGCAATCAGTACCAGAACCTCGATTCTCACCATATATTTCACGCTTTGTTGTTAATTTTCGGTTGGTGGTTTTTATTTGGACTTTTTATTATTTTATAGCACGAGCTTTTGGTTATACTCTTGCAGAGAGTATATCTTTCAGTGCCGCTCAATTTTAGTTATTCCGTTTCCTAGGCTTTAATTCCTCTCCAGGTTTTTTTTGTGTGTTTGGCTAATCAGAAGTAACCCCTCTGTCGCTGGCTCCACGGATTCACAATTAACTTTTTGTGATCTTTGTTCGCCGCAGAGCCAATTCACAGTTAGACCGTCGGAGACAGAGAGAACGAACGAACGAAAGAAGGAAAAAAGAGGGGATCGTGTGAGCAAGAGTGGGACAGGGGGAAAGAGAGAGCAATAAACCTAACCTGAATCCGAAGCAACTATCGGCGGCGGCTGGTGGGTGACATTGCATAGCCCCACGATGCGAGAGAGAGAGAGAGCGGGAAGAGCGAGACGAGCGAGAAAGAAGCCAAAGTAGCGCAACTTGCGGTGACAGCAACCACAACGAAAGCAACGAGAAACAAGAGCAGCAAAAACTAGAGATGAGCGCGGTCGTATTTTTATTGGGCCTACACAAAACACGACTATACATACATACATATGTATATTGAAATTTTTCAATAGAAAGCAGTATACCTAAAAAGTTTTTATTATTAGAGGAAAGCAAAGCAAAAAAAAACAGAAATATTCCAAAATTGTATATACATATGTACATACATATGTACCCTTAACGTACTGGGGCTTATTAACACATCCTGATGATGCATTGCATTACATATGTACATACGTAATACTGCCGATATTTTACCAATGATATATCAGATTGAATGATCTCTTCGTGTTCCGTTCATAATTGGCGTGATGCACGAGCCCGGTGACTGCCATCGCTAGCGAGAATTACAGCAGCAACAACAATTGCCGGTTTTGCGCGCGTAATCGATGCTGGCGTCGACGTCGACAGCAGCATCTCTCCCCTCCCCCAACCAAACCAGCAACCCCTCGGCGGACAGAGCAAACCGCTTTACGATCTTGTATTACGTGTTGGCGTTTTGCATGTTGTTGCCGTTGTCGGTGTAGTTATAGTTGTTTTTGTCGTTGGTTTCATTTGTGCATGAGATCGGTTTTTTGTTGTTACTTCAATCAAGTTACAGTTCCAGTTGTGCCTACCCCTCCCCTGCACCGCAGAAACCCCGTGCCAAAGACGGTCATGGCACCCAGCAACAACAGGCCAATCGTGTTTTTGTATATACATACACATATGTATGTACATACGTGTGTGTACTTGTGGAGGAACCGGTTTCCTTTTACTGCTTGCATATTTTTAGCAACAAGTTGAAAAAAGAGTTGCCTCGACAAAAATGAGACTTGGGACGGGACTCGAACACTGGTTTCAAAGGAAAGTGTGCGGGGGTATGATATGGTGCTGACTTAGCTAAAGTGCTGCCAGACACACACACACACACACACATGAAGACATACACATGGACAGGCAGACAGAAAAATGATAATGAAAACGTGTATAAAGATCGACAGAGAGACAGCGATCGGCATTCGCTTGTAACAAATATTTTTTTTTTGTGTTCTCTGTCCATACAAGTCGCGCCAAAAAGAGAATCAGGCAAGAGACAAACAGAAAGAAACGAAAGAAAAATAAAAACTTCGAGAGCTAAGGCCTTTGATACCCTTGCAAATGTAACGTTTCCCTGTTGGATATACATATGTTCATATATGTATGCACTATTCCAACGATTTTAATACGATGGCATAGGAACAGACAGACTGATACTCGTGGACGGACATGAATTATCAGAAATTGTGCATATGTACACTATGTATGTATGGATGAAAATTGATTGCTGATTTTATTGGCATTATCTGTGTTGCTAATATCTGATGAAAATCATAATACCTCTATTTAGTAAGGACCCCACACAAACAGCTTTTGTCAGGGAAGCGACAGAGACGGCAAGAGAGAGAGAGAAGGTACAACCGCAAACAGAGTCGCTGCGTCATTGACGTCGATAGCGACCGCAGCAGAGGCAACGCGAAACAATTGCCGGCCATTGTTGTCGCCGACGTTCGACCACGTCAATATTGTCGTTACCCTAACTTAAACCTCAAACAGTCGGCATAAGCGAACTGAGATGATACGCCACATATGTATGTATAAGACATTTCCAGATATTATTAATACCATATGTATTTAATGCATTTATCACTCTGAAAGGGTAAATCATATGCGACACTTTCCCTCCACAGTTCCATTAAAGTGAGCAATTTAATGGAAAACGAGAGCTGTGGTTAAATTTAAATATGTATTACATTTTTTTAGTATTAAATATTACAAAGAAACGCTCTAAAACATTTATATTGTTTATTTGTAGGGTATACAAGTGTGTGTTTTTCGTGCGTAATTTTTTTTTTCAGTTTCTTTCTTTTCTTTGCATTTTGTTACATTTGCTTTGCCATTCATATTTCTTTCTGTTTATTGTTGTCCAACCTTCTCACGCCACAGACGAAGACCAAGCGAGGGTGAGTGCGAGGGAGAGGGCAACGAGCGAGAGAGGGAGAGAGACAAGCAAACACAATGGCCACACTTTGACCCTGACTTTTAATGTGTAGATTCGCCGACGGCCGGCCCCCGTGTTCCCCCTCTTCCGCTGATCGGACCGACACATGCTAAATTATTGTTATTATTATGAATTGTGTTTTATGCATTCGTTTTACCCTTTCCAGAGAAGGTACTACGATGTTTAACGTTCGTTTGATCAACGCAGTGAAGGAGGCTCCATAGATGAAAATCAAAAGCAGATTCTGTTATTCTCTCGTAACGAAATAACGTATGTGTATATGTAATGTAATGAAGCATAAGGCAAAGTAAGTGGGAATGGAATGTAACGTAAGCTAATGTAAGTGGGAATGGAATGTAACGTAAGGAAACGTGAGGGAATGGAATGTAACGTAAGGCAGCGTAAGTGGGAATGGAATGTGAGGACATTGGTGCGATGAGTACAAAAACGAATTCGCGGATCTCTATGTTATCAGAAATTTCGGTTGAAAAACAAATTTTTTATTTAGAAATAATCCAACCAAATGTAACATATTTTGTGAGAAAAGTGTTCGTCGTTCTTAAAAATAGTCCCAAACGAAATTAGACAAACTGTTCTATTCAGATTGTAAGACTTTATCGCTGCCATGAAAATTATGGATCACAAATTACTCATGCTCATGCTACACTAAGTAGTTATTAATTCATCCGAGATTCCTTAAGCTTTTCGGGGGAAACAGCTCTGGTGCGCCTGCGAAAAGCAGCTCTGCCTCTTCCCCCATAATTCTTAAGTAAGCTATTTGCTTCATAAAGCCGCAGGTAGCTCCTCTTTGCCTCATTATGCTTCAGGTATGTAGGTACATCAGTCTCAACAAGCTGCCAGCACCCTTCAAACGCTTCTGGTGTCGCCGCCGCTCCACGTGGCAGCTCATTTGCCTAGGCAACGGGTCATTTGACTGAATGGTTTTTCATTTCAATTGAAAAGCAAATTATTTCTCTCTCCTTATCACCAGCTGCTCAACGATATCATTTGCTCTTTGCCACACGACCTATTCCACCCCATCCGCCCCATTTTGCGACTGCCCCAGTACTTTCGCCCGACAGCCTGCTGACCAACGTATGTCCATGAGAACGGCTTATTTCTGCCTTACTCTATTCATCTCGTATTTCCATCTTCTCTTTTGTGTGGAGCTTTCAAGGCGCACGGAGACACACACACACACATTCATTAATTCCGGCTCTGGTTGGGCTGCTATTGCGCGATACCTTTTCTACCGATGGTATTTTCGTCTGTGTGTCGTTGCCAAAGACTTTGTTTCACAAGGAGCGTCGTCTGTGAAAAACGGTTCGTGCACCAGGCAAGGAGGGTCTTTCAGCATGAGCGACTCCTAGGGGAAGGGGCGTTGTGAGATAATGTAGTTATGGCAACGCGGCAATTAGAGGAACTAAGCTCTTATTTTCAAGCCTTAGAGTGGGAGAGTGCACGAGTGCCAGCTCGAGTTGATTCATGTTACCAGTATTAGCACCTGCATGCAATCAATTTAAATGTGGTCTTTAAATTCTGACGCAGTCCGACTACATGAGACAAGGAGTACTTGTTGACTAAGGACCGAAAATACCACTAACTAACCGGACTAATTCAAGGAAAAAAATATAGTTGCAAATGAAGAATGTCCTGGGCATAGCTACACATTACCTAGGGTCTAGACTTTGCTTCAAATTACGATCCACCCACCCACGCTGAAGCTTTTTTTTGGTAAGTGTTCGATACACGAGCTATGCTCCAAAAATCGCAATTCATCAAGAATTTACTTGCAGAAACTGTATGCTTTTGGATAAAATGAGTTTTGACATTGAAGTCTAAGTTTCGCCGAAAGATGTTTTTATGTTGTAATAATTGAAAGTAAAATGCCGTTTTGTCTTTAGTCTGACCACAAAGTAATGTTAAAAGATAAAAAATGCCCAGAATGGGAAAATATAGGCACCTTTTCCATTGGTGTTACTTCAGCTCCGGAATTTTATCTGAATATTATCTGAATCAGATAATAAATAGTGCAACAACATAATATTAATATTAATAGGGCGGTGAACAATTGAGGTATTACTGTTACCCTTATTTTATTGTAACAACTATCACAAACAATAAAATACAATCACTTAACATAATTTTACTGTTTATATCTTTGATTAAGGGAACAATTTAAATTGAACAGATGCGTGGCCAGCATCTTCTTTGCTCCTTGGCTATTTAATCGTGTCTGCTACTTTCTTCACATACCTTCCTACCTTTTAATTAATTATTATTAATTACCTTTGGAAATTACAGAAATATATAATCCAAAAATCTTGCACTGCTTGCTTACAGTGGCGTCCGCTATTACTTTTTGTTTGGTCTCGGGACGCTAGCGGCATTTCTTGGAACTACTTTAGTTCCCGATGACGCCGGTAGAATCTACAGTGTAAATTCTACATCTCTCCGATAGAGGGCGCACGCACCCTGCAGAGGGCAGAGTGTGTGTGAGCGAGAGATAGAGTAGTGGGTGGAAGGGGTGGGGTAAGTAACTGAAAATTTATTTCTTCATCTCCGCCTCCGACTATTATTGAAATCGGTTTATTTGTGAACTGTTTTTTGACTAACAAAGAGTGCCTGTATATCTAGTGTCTAGTTGGGACTCGGGTTTGAGCCAGTCTTGCCAGTCAGTAGGTTTACTCTCCCATATTGATACGTAAAGTGAAAAAAAAACGAAATTTATTCCAACATTTTATTATTTTTTACCGGAGCCCGGAGAACCGGACTTCTACCCTCCGAATAATGCAACTCACACAGGATGTCATCTACAACTACACTAGGCGAAACGTTGATAGGATCAAGAGCCTTAAAATTGTGGGCTTTGGCCTCACGGATGTGTCCATCCTCAGGGGGGCAGTGTCCGTCGAGATCTTGAACCTAACATCCAACCAAATCGGTACTCTCTCTCACTTTGCGGACTGCTCCGAGCTGCAGCAGTTGCTTCTGCGCGATAATAACATTCGGGAGTTCCGTGAAATCGAGTATCTGAAGGATCTGAAAAACCTCCATACCCTCGTCCTGTCGCAGAACCCCTTCTGCGTTATGTTGGGATCAGAGTGAGTGACCCCAGACACCAGACTCCAAACACCAGACAGTGCCCTCCATTCTTTTCTCCTTATCTTCAGATATCGGGCTATGGTATTGCGCGTCTTGCCCAATCTGACTTTTCTGGACATGTTAGAGGTCACCAGAGAGGAGCTGGCCGCCTCTCTGCTTCCTAGGCAGTTGCGACAGGGTCGCTCCGGACGCACCTTAGGATACCCCGGACACCCCCGCAGGGTGAGTATATAGCCCTATAGTCCATCGAACCAATGATCGATTGAATAATTTCCACAGAGATCGAACGTTCTAACAGCCAGTCTGAATTTAGTTATGGATCTGAACTTGAACGAACTTGCGGAGCTTGAGGCTGCCGTGCGCAATCGCATTCAGGCGGTGACGCAGGATTAGTAAATAAATTCAAGTACTTGACGCGCATGTCCGATAGAGTAGAGGAGTAGAGGACACGCGAAACAGGAGTAGCCGGAGGCTGGAGCACGCAATCATCCACCATTTATCCACAATTTCAAATCAGAACAGAATGAAGCGTCAGATGAGGCATTCATTGTTGCAGAATGGATCTGCCCATCTGCAATCCATCACAATCGGGGTCATGAGATTAATAATCTATATTCGATGACAAAAAACACCAACAATAGACCTAGACTCTGGCGTTTCTTTCTTTTAATGTCAAAAGCGAACTTTTATAAAATTGTTAAATTGTTGTTTGACACGACCAAAGAACCAATGCCAGTATACAATGAAATTATATTTAAAAAGACTTGCTGGGGAAGGGGGAGGGGGATACGCATGGTAAAGATCTAACCAAATTCACAATAGTCCAGAATATGGCCAAGACCGTGGAGAAGAATTAGGACCAACAGGGGGAATGGAGCGCAAACTTGTGGTATTATTAATTAATCAACACAAAATCAGGGGAGCGATAAAGTCGCTGCACGGTACCGTAACACGGTAACAGAGCCCTGCATGAACGGGCAACCGAATCGACTCGGAGGGATTCGGTCGGTATTCGCTTTGTCGCATACGATTGAATCAGCGATTCGGCTTTCTCAAATCTTCGACTAAACGAAGCAGGTCTTGCCGTTCTTACTTTGTAAGATCCCAGCGGATATCAGCGGACATGTTTTTTCTCTCTGGCTGTTCACTTTTCACTCTCCACAGCTAGCCACACCCCCCTGGGTACAACCATGTATGTAAGTATTTTTTTTTTAAACTGAAAGTAGTTTTTTGTGATTTCATTGAGCGGATTAGTGTTGGGCAGTGCTCCATCCAAGCCAGAGTTGCATTTTGTGTCACACATAAAAGCGTTGACAACCAACTTTTTCATTCAGTTTGACTAGTCCGAGCATAAAACATATTCTGACCGAGAAAAATTGCAAATTTATTAAAAGGAGCCGTCTGAACGAGCCATACGAAGAGCAGGTGGGGTTGAGACACTCTTTAGCAGAGCAACGATAAAGAGGCTAAGGAGTAGAACATTTTGGATTTTCAATGTACGTAATGCTCGTAGGAAATTGATTAACAATTGTAGTAATGCGTTTCTGGTAGTTTGAATTGCTCGAAGGAACGTTCGGTAGAGAAAAGCTTTGGGATAAAATAAAAAAAGGGAAGATCATGGACCAAGAAATGGCAAGGTACTTTGCAAGAACATTAATTTGCATGTGAAACACTGCAAACTGCTTTAAAACTCCATATTTCAGAGCATTATCCGAGAAGGGAGAGCAGAATGACGGCGATGAAGAAATGCCAAGGTAAGAAGGATGCATCTTCTGTGGAGATGGGCTATCGCATCCACTGCAGCACTCGCGGACAGCACACACAGTTACGTATAGTCTATAATCCACACACCCCATCAAAACCCTTAGCGTCTGGAAGCCCCAACCAGGATGTAATCCGGTCGAGGAAAAGGCCGTTCAGGATCTTCTGGTGTGGGAAAAAGATTGGAATGAACAAGTAATGAAACGTAACAAAATGATGAACGAGTCGTGCAATTCAGTAACCAGTAGCCCACAAAGGAAGCGCATGCGCAGTAATGACACTTCAGATGAGCCCACTGCGGCTTTCCGGGATCTTCCTCCGTGGGAGGAAGAATGGGACGGCGATCTGGAATCGCTAGGCTTGGTGCAGCAGACCACCGAAGAACTAAGTAACTATATGCCCCGATACGATCCGCTTTGGCTGACTAACATTTGCGTGTGTCCTGTCCTCTCTCCTGCAGCCAGTCCTATTCCGGGCTGCGGCTCTTACGCGGCCCAGTGGCTGGCACAGGAGCAGGCAAAGGAACAGGCACAGGAGCAGGCGAAGGAGCAGCCACAGGGGCAGGAGATCTCACAGGCGATCATCAATAAGAAGGTCCCTGGCCCATGGGATTGGCTGTACGAAAAGCGTTAGTCGCGCTCCCAAAACCTTTTGTTCCGAATGATTTCTCTGTTCATGTCACTTCCAATGGGACGTACAATATATGTAATGCATTAACAGAGCAATATCATTTCCGTCTTTCCGTTCCGTGTATGCCAGCGAATTCCTCGGGAATAGGTGCTCAGTACAACCAAAGCTGACAGGGAAAGGATCCTATGAGAGGAACTAGTTTGGATCCCTCTTGTTAATGGAGGACACTCAAACATTTTGACTCTTTTCTGGGGCCATTAAGAAGACTTTTCCGGGACGGCATGAGGAATGAATAGAATATTATTTTTTGGAGTTTGTATTTTATTTTGCACTTAAAAGCTATGAAAAAAATTCTCTTAAATCGTAGATTATGGCTAGTTGGGGATTTCTACAGTGATGGTGGGGCAGGGCAGGGCTGTGCATGGGCAGGAGCAGGAGCAGGATAGGCGCAGGCTGCTTAGCTGATTAACTGGGGAGACTGCGGGGATGCACTACAGGGAGGGACTGCATTTTACAAATATAACGTATCCGCGGCGGTGTGTCCGCATATCCAAGAACTTAAAGTACTTAAATGCGAGTGGTGCGTGGTGGTACAGCTCAGATAGAAAAAAAAGAGCCCCCAGGATATTCACAGATAAGCTGACCCAAAAAAAATGCATATAGATAGGAACTGGCTGGCGAATCGAAACCAATCTGAACTGAGACTCGCACGCGTTCAACGCAACAAGCAGCCGGATTGGGCTCCGTTGATCGAGGATCGAGGATCGGGGATCGTCTAGGCAGTGGCCACCTTGGCCGTGAAGGCGGACAGCTGTGCCTTTAGTGCATCAATCTGGCACAGCAGCTCGATGTTCTGGCGCTCCAGGTATGCGGCCCGGATGGCAATCTCGTCCTCCTTGATGCGGCGACGGTCGCGCGACTTCTTGGCCGCCGCGTTATTCTTGCGACGCCGCTCGTAGTAGGCGGCATCCTTCACCTGTCCGCCGCTGGACGGCTGGAAGCTGGCATTAGCCGCCCCCGATGAGCTGCCGTTTGAGTGAGAGCCGCTGGTGGACTTTGACTCGAAGTTGCCGGCATGCGAGTCGCAATCGCTGGACTCCTCGGCCGCCGCACGATCCTCGCTCTCGCTGTTGTTGGTCGAGGAGCTGCCCTCGTTGACGCTGCCGCTGCGGGAGTTGGTGCGGCGCATTTTGGGGTTCGTCACGGTGCGGGAGCCGCCGTTCGAGTTGCGGATCTGTTCGAGCACCCGCTTCCGGTACTCGGTGTAGCGCTCAACGCGCGGATTGTCCAGCAGCACATCGGTGGCCGCAAAGTTGGCTGCAATCACCAGCGGGTCGCGGGGGAATGCCTTGAAGGGACGTGTGCTCTTGCCCGTGTCGGAGGCGCTGCTCGCAGTCATGGTGCTGCTGGTGGGCGTGGTAGAGGCGGTGGTGCTGCTGGTGGCGGCGTGGGTTTGGGCCGCTGGCGGCGATTGTGGCGTCTCCAAGACATCGATCTGCATGGTGCTGGCATTGCTGGCCGGGCGTGGGGAAGCCCCCACGGCTGCAGCTGCAGCGGCCGCCGAGGCAGCAGCGAATGTCTGCAGCAGGCTGGCGGTGGCCGTGGCATTGGCATTGGCATTGGCAGTGGCATTGGGCGTCACCTTGGGTGCAGCGGATGGCTCCTGCTTGATGTTGGCTCCGTAGTAAAAGGCCGGATAGAGGCTGGCCAGCTGCTGTTGCTGCTGTTGGACGGAGTACAGAAGGCTGTTTGGGATGGAGCCCGTGGCAGTGGGTGAGGCCGAGGGCGAGCCGCTGCCGTAACTGTAGTTGGTCTGGTAGGGCGAGGGCGTCTTCCGGGGCGTCTCCACGCTGTCGCAGCGGCGTGACAGATCCAGAACCTCGGCGGAGGCAGCTCCTCCAACTGTGGCCTGCTGCTGTTGCTGTTGTTGCTGCTGTTGCTGCTGTTGGCTGAGGGCAGCGCCAAGGAGTTGCTGCTGATAGGCGTAGGCGGCATAGAGATCCATTTTGGGCAGGGCCAGGCTCTGCTGCTGCTGCTGCTGCAATTGGCTGTGCTGCAGATGCAGATGCTGTTGCTGCAGATGATGGTGCGACTGCTGCTGTTGCTGCTGCTGTGGCGACTGCTGCTGGTGGTGGTGGTGGTGGTTGTGGTACTGGTGATGGTGGTGGTGGTGCAGCAAGGGCTTGCGATCTATTCGTTGAGAGAAGAAGGAGCAGGAGGGGGGAGATTTCTTAGTATGCTGTTTGCGTGGGATGGGGGGGGGCGTGGCTAACTTACCAGTCTTCAGATCGTTGAAGAACTGTCCGGACATGAGTTTCTCGTGCATCAGCATGTTGTCTGACTAACGGTTTAATAATCCAAAGCGTAATAACAGTAAACTGATGTTCTGCTAGCTTACTAGCTCTCTCTCTCTCTCTCTGTGTGTGTGCGTGGGTTGTAGGTGTCGTGACGCTGACGTTGGCGAATGCAAACTGATTTCCTTTCGGCAGCCCGACCGCCTTTTATAGTGCCGAACCCGGCTGCGCCGACGCTTCATTCACAATGGCGGCCTCGGGTTCGGTGAGTCAATGTCACGCAGGTAGACGGGCAGCCAAAGGGTGACTATCGCTGTCCTTCTCTCCTACTCCGGCATCGTTCATCTCACTCTATCCCAGCATCAAAGGGTTTTACGAGGGTGCGGTGCGGCTGCTGCTGCTGCTGCTGCGGGTGTGGGTGCTGCTGCCTCTGTCTCTGCCGCCCTCGACAGAGACTTTTGGTTTTCAATTTTCGCGAAAATTCGCCTGTTTATGCTATTTACTGTAATTTAAGCGCAAGATTTTATATGTTTTTGTAACTAGTAATTGCACACAGAAAAAAGTCCAATAAATTCGCGTATTTATGTAATGATATATTTTAAAAGGAAATTAAAAAAATATACAAACTAAAAATACAGCAGAATATGCTGGGAATGAAATATGGAATGAAAGCTATATCCGAAAAGACAAGACAACAATGCAATAGGTTGAAATCCAAATGACAGCAATTGCAGAATATAAATATATAATATAACTAATAAAAAATAAAAACACGAAATGGAAGAGGTGGCAAGTAAAATGAGATCTCATTTAAGGGATATCCTAAAAGGAAATTTAATAAAAGTGACGTACAAAGAGAATTAACATTCAAAATATAGTGGGACAAATAAATATCCAGAGCAATGGTCTCTGGAATAGATATAGATGTTGACAATTCCGATTAGAATATATTCCAGTAGATTCATAGATTCATAGATTCAAGTACTAGAGATATACATACATATACATATGTATGTAGATACAATAAATTAATATTTATGTTGCTTGCAAAAAAAGGGTAAGGAAATGTGCGTAATTAAAGTGCGAATATTAAATGTGTTCTATGAACACAATAATAAATCTCAGCATAGCAAATCTTTGGAGTTACTCACAGCCCAACATACTGAATCGAATGGCTTGTCACACAGCAAATACCCCTGCATGTCGTAGCCCATAATATTAGCAGCTAGTCTAGCGACGCTTGACATCAAATTGCTCGGATCAATTAGGGCCGAATTGTGCTTCTGGCTCAAAACAGCAGGAGGGAGCAAACGGTGTGGAGAGGGAGCGTACACTCACAGAGGAGGATAAACAGGGACGGGAGAGGAGAGATGGCTTGCTTGCTGATGATGGATGCTCAGATGCTCAAGGGTTGCGAGTGCAAAATGCTAAATCCGTTTGTTTTGCGCTTTTGTCCCGAAATCCTTCTGCTGACCAGCACAGACCGGCCCAGCCCCGTTCCATCCTCTCGCACATCCTTTCGCACAGACATATGTACATGCATATATCCTTGTGGGAGTGTGTGTTGGTGTTCGCTGGCGAATTTTGGTGGACTTCTTGCACAAATGATTGTGCGTGACAAATTATGGAAATTAGCCCGTCAGTCCACGTCCCTGTCCACGTCCACGTCCGCGATGTCGCAGCAGTTGCAGTTGCAGTTTTAGCCCTTTTTGCGTGGTCGCAATTCGCCTCCTAATGGATCCTACGTCGGCCAGGTCTTCCCAGAATCCTGGCAAGGCCATCACCACTGAAACTAACACTGACACTGACAGGATCTAGCTGCAATCTGTAGGCCAAACATTGCCTTGGCAGCAACAGTCTTTGATTCATGACGCCGCCCAAAAACGAGGATCATCGCGACAAGTGGCCATTCCCAGTCACCGCATGGAATGTTGTTTGCCCTTTGGCTGGCTGGCTGGCTGGCTGGCTGGCATCTACGTATCCCTTCCACGAGTAGGGGCGTGGGATAGCCTCGCCGTTTGTTTAACTTTACTTAACTGTGATCCTAACGGTGGTCTCCGATTCTAGCAAACGGAAGTGCAAGACCGGCGAAGACCCTGCCCATAAGTATCGGATGTGGAGGTGGAGAGGTTCAATATCAATATCAGGGCTAAAATATATATGTATGAAAATTGTTCCCTTTGGCCTTGAATTATTTGAATTGTAGCTCTTTGTGGGACGGATATTAGATGCCTTTCTGCTAGAGAATATTAATGAGTATTATACGGACATACCAGCACACAGATCTATACGAAATAGTGTAGTATATAAAGTATATACAATATATGCATGTATATTTGGTTGGCCGTAAACTAAATCGAATCGCAGCACATTCATTCACTCGATCGTCGCTCCATTCAGCCGGAGATCTCGCATATCGGCACACAAAAAAGGAGAGTAAGGAGAGGCTGCAGAACGATCTGGCTGGGCTGCTTGCCCCTTAATAATCAGTAAAAAACCGCGAACTTATCCGCTAATCCCTGTGCTAATCCAACCGTAAAAATGGTGGATTAAATATTCAGTTTACCCACTCATCCGCATATTTTCATGAGCACACAAGACACACACATCACACACACAGCCGCAGCTCCATTGAGGTGACATCCTACCTGCGCGGACAATCTCAGCCGAAACGAGCCAAGAGAAACGGCCATAAAAAGTCGCGGGCTGAGAGTCTAAGCCAAAGAGTTGCCAAATTCGTTGTAAAAACCATATTCAGCGAAAAAAAAAAAAAAAAGAAAATAACAAGCTGGTATATGGTATATGGCATGGATATAAAGGGAATGAACCTTAAAAAATGATGCCATAAAAGATATATCGACTGTCGTCGCTCCTGTCGAGCCTTTCTCGCTCCGCTCCCTTCTCCCTCATTGTAATGAGCTCAGGCGGACCAAAGATGCAATATTTGTGCAATCCTTTCATTGGGCGACGACCTTGAGCGCGTTTTTTAAGGCAATCAGGTAGAACACGGGCTCGAACGGGTTGCCATTCCATGTACCCCGCATATCCTATTTTTTTAAGGCCTACATTAGCTATTGCCTAAAAAACGTGAAACGTTTGTTTTTTTTTTTTATTGCATAATGGACGCTTCGCGTGAAATCGTCCTAGAATCCTTAGAGCCAACAAACCCGCGCGCCCTGTACCAGAGAGCGCGTTTTTTAAGCGGCCATAAACAGGCATGGTCTGGTCTGTTGCCCCTTAATAAAAGGGTTCGGGGTATACGATATGCTATGGTATGGTAGAGTCCTTCCATTGTGACATCGATTTTTATATTGGTTCGCAGCAACACGGGAACACAAAGAAATCAGCGACTAATTGACTGAAAGGGGTTTTCACTTATTATATTGCTCGAGCCTCGTTGCCTTGCCCAAAAAAATGGTGGCACGGCGGTTGGCTTCGGGGAAACGATGTTAACTCCTTTGCCGGCCCCTTTGTATTAATGGGCTAACATTGTCATATATATTTTCATCCATCCACGGACCTTTTTTCAGTACTTTTATTGGTTAAACATGTGACACATCCAGAGAGCCACCAAGAAAGATGATGAGTGCTGTACTCTCTCTCTCTCTATCCTGCTCTTCGATTAATTTCCAGATATGTGTGGATGAATATGTGTAGTATATGCTGTTTTGGCGAAGGTTTAGGCCTCCTATATCTAAATATTTAAAGCTGAATTTGGGGTCTGTAAAATCAAATAAAAGTTTACATTCGATTATATGTATTATATTTGTGGCTGTGCTCCGTTAATGCCCTGCCGATGTGCCAGCAGATGTCCGGCACAACTGATCAAATGAGATTACTTTCGAACAGAATATAAGTTTGGCCAGTCGAAGCGACTTGCTTCATTCAGTTTTTGAGTTTATTTTTGGACCATGATGACCCCTGGCCGCCTAAGCCCATCAGACAATTCAGATGAAGGAAATGCAGGGAAGTGAAGTGAAGGGAAGGGTCTCTCTCATGCTAATGAGGAAGTAAGTATTGTAGTTAGGAGCTGCTGTGCACTTGGCTTACTGCCAGTGGCAGAGGAAGTGAACGGGGGATTACACGTGCTCCGACCTCGAGACAAAAGCCTCTCTATCTCGTCGTGGAGTGTGTTTGTGTAGAGCCAAAAGACTAACCAGCCAGGATCGGATCTATCTGCAGTCCAGTCGTTCACTTGTTTGTTTTCATACCATATGCAAAGTGCACAAGCGGGATAAGAACGGGAACAGGTATTGGATGAGGACTCTTTTGGGTTTTAGCCGGTTTTAGCCACTTCCGCAAACGGAAGTGCAGCAACGGAATGCCAGAAAAAAACGAGGGTAGGGGTAGGGGCAGGGGTAGGGGCAGGGGCAGGGGTAGGAAGAATAAAAAAGACACAAGTTAAGTACACAGAGCGAGTGGAGAGGCAAGGAGGGTGCACAATGGACGGACAATGACGGAGCTAGCTTCCGTCCTGTCCTCCCAGCGTTGCCATCAAATCCTTTTGCTAATTGTTATCCTATGCACTCCAGTGCCAGTGCCAGTCTCCGTCTCAGTTTGATCCTCTTCTTGGCCGTAATCCAGGCAAATGCTGTTCAATTATGGCATCTCTTTAATTGAGAGACGAGACGTCGAGGCTGTGGCTGAGACTGAGGCAGGATTCTTGCGGTTCATTCATGGTTACCCACCGAAGCGTGCACTGGGATCTCTCTGTCATCTCCAGCGATCCATCGAAGCGGAGCGCTGAGAGCTCAGAGTATTGCATTACCCTATGCCAATTAGTGCGGTTTTGATTACCCAAATGACATTCGGCCCAAAGTACCCAAAGTACTGTCCGGGACTAGTCGGGCAAGCATCTTCCAAGAGGCTTCTTCTTCGGAGCTGGGAGTTATCTCAGGTTTGCTCAGTGCCAACAGGCCCCAATCGAATTTTAAATATTGATTTATTTCCCATTGAGAGCTGTGACACAAGATTAGGGAGTGGGAGGCCGGGCAGTAATCGATGGGTGGGCAGGGAGAGAGGAGTGGCAGTGGCAGTG